GGGGGGGAAGACATACATGGGCTCTGTGCATTGTTGCTTTCTCGAGGGTGTGCTCCCCTCTTGTTGGTATGGGGGCCGAGATGTGTGTCGAGACGTCTTTCTTGTGTGACTGACACCTTCGCTTCTCTGTTTGCTTGATTCCTTGTCCGTGTGTGCGTATTCATTGGTGGATGAGTGGACCAACGAACGAACGAACGAATGAATCAAGGGATGGATCACTGAATGCAGTGGAATGGAATGGAAGAGTGAGTATAATCGATTGCATTGCATTGCATTGCTGGACACACGTACGGGACGGTACAGCCGTATGTACACACACGCAGGCAGACACACAGATAGATGATGACAAGCGCGCCACTCCATAGACAGATAGGCTGTCCCCCAAGGCAGGCTAGACCACACCACACCACATCACACCACACAGAGTCCATCACCACGCATCTTTGACACACACGTGGCAAAGCTATGTCTGTCCTGCCTGTCTGTCTGGGGCAGCTCGCCAGATGGTTGCAACGGTCTATGTCGGTTGGTCTGTCTGTGGGGCAGCCAACCAGGCTGGCTACCCCACAGCACACCCACGCAGACACTCACACGTCGATGTAGAGAAAGATATAGATATACATCCCCCACTCTCACACATCGTCGCCACGGCCAACGAAGAAACGGCGGAAGGGGATGGCCGATCTCAGCGCCATGCGACGGCCACCGCACCACCCCTCAGGTCATCCACCACCCGTGCCGCTGCAGCTCTGCCTCCAGAACGGCGATGAGGCCAATGCGGCATTGCTTTGCCGCTATCAGGATGACGAAGCCGCCGATCCGAGTGCGGTTGGGCACCAGCTGCCAGAGAGCGTTGCGGAGCTGGCTGTCACCACGACACCCTCCAGGCCGCGCACGCCGCCGCCAAGCAGAGAAGAGATGCCGTCCCGGATGCTCACGGCAACGGCAGGGATGTCCTCCAAACCATCGGGTGGTACTGAGTGAACACACACAGATACACGGCAGCAAGCAATGCACACACACGAGGCATCCATCAATCGGCCGGCAGGCCACTGCACTCACTGCATACCTTTGAGGCACACGTCTATCTTGCGAATCTCTGCAGCCGTCAAACACACTCGGGCTGAGGGCTGAACACCTCCGGATCGCTGCAGCTGCCGACGGCGACCAGAGACACACCCCCTTCTGTCGGTCGATAGGCCGCCGAAGCGTACCGCCCTCACGTCGTGGGCATCTTGTCCGGAAGACGACCAGTGCAGTGCATCGCCGGAGGCTGCCCGTGGTGTGGCCAGCTGATCAGCCCATTCCCATCTGCCGGCACGTCGAGCACCTGGGCGACGGACTCACACTCACACTCGAACCGGCACCAGCAGAACCACCAAGACACACCTGACACACGGCACACAACACAGCACAACAGATGGATGTACAGTACACGTAACCAGAAAGGATGAGTGTTGTGTGGACATTGTATGATCGTACAGCCCTCTCTCAATGCATTGCGTGGGTGGAGTGACGGATGGACAAGGATTCACCATTCAACCAACTGAGAAGGACGGAATCCTCCTGAGGCCGCAAACAAGACTGCCGATCCGGACGACACGACAGCGTAGCAATGAATCCGTGGATCAATGAATACGTCCACTGGTTATCAAACCATCACACAAGTGGTTCCTCGCATTCACAGTCAGTCAGTCAGTCAAGAAATGTCTCTCTCCTCTCCACTCAACACACGTGCTGCCTGTCTGTCTGTCACGCACATGTCCGTCCGTAATTCACCCACCACACATATCATATCGACACAGAAGGACACGATTCGTAGACCAAACCACTGCATGCCATGGCATGCAGTGAGTGCACCGGCCGGCATGCGCGTACCGTCTTAGCTGTCCAATGCAATGGTGGGTGGTCAATGCAATCAATGGTGGGTGGTCCGACCCGACTCGACCCCACTCACACGCGTGTACGACTCAAATGCCCCCGGGGGGAAGTACTTTGAACACGGCCTTGGCCTGCATACACACACATACCGACACACCAGTTGTGTTACACACGGCTGGCTGCACGCCCACACCGTACGTACCCCATCCCATCCACCCCACCCACCCGTAGTGCGTCAAGCGGGACGAATCCGTAGTTGTGGCTGTCGATGCTCTCATTCATATTGTCTCCAAGCAGAAACACACAGCCATTGGGGACGACCTCAGGGCCAAAGCTATACATTGGTGGTGACGACGACATCATCTTGTACCGCCCCCGCACATCCACACCGTTCACAAGCACCCCATCCGGCGAAATCGCAACGGTGTCGCCCTGTCCAAACAAACAGGCAGGCAGGCAGGACACAAACACACATTTCACGCATGTCTATCTGCGTCCATGCCTCTCCCCCCACGCAGGTGTGTGCATGAGAGCCCATGAGGGTCACCTCCTTAGCGATGATGCGTCTGAATGCGATGGCCCTGCCGCCCGCCAGCCGCCAGATCTCGTCGTCTCTGCTCGGGTCGCCAGTGGCAGCAATCTGACGCTTCACATATTGCTGACACGGACACAAGAAACACAAAACAGATAGTTCATGTCTTTTGGCACTTGTTGGTTGTACACGCACGCACCTTTACGAAATCTGGTTGTGACATCTCAACCACGTCCCCGACTTGGAAGGCGTCCCTGGAATAACCGCAACCAAAGTTTACCACCAAGCCTCTTGGTGTGATTGCTGGCTCTCTGCCTTACTGTTTGATGAGCTTGTTGACCACGACCAGGGACTGCGATTCAAGGACCGGCTGCATGCTCTGGGATGCGTTGATAACCGTGTCAAAAACAAAGAAGCGCAGCAGTAGGATGGGCAGGACGACTATGCCGATGGCCAGGGCGTCCCACTTGCCGCTCGTCAGCTCCTTCAGTGCCTTTGCCACACCAGTCGGCTCGCTCTGCACATACACACATACAGAAGAGACAGGCAGGCAGGCAGGCAGGCCGCCACTCAGACGGACTACATATGTCTGCAGTGCATGTCAGGGAACCCTGGGTGGGTACCTACCTGTTGTTGCATCCTGCGCGCCTCCTCTTCTTGCTTCCTTCTCCTGACGAACTCGGCGATCATGCTGTCGCTGGGAGCCGAAGACAGGTCGTCGTTGTCTAACCCGGGGATAACAACCACCTTGTCCCCATTCACACCACCCTGATAGACCCACCAGCACACGGCCACACGGCACGACACGATCAATCATCAGCTTGTGCAGTGTGTCGTGATGGCACCCATCCCACCCACCCACCCACCCACCTGTTTCTTGGCTTCCCGCGGTATCACCATCAGCTCTCCGCCAGGCTGCCGGGATGCTCTGTCAGTGGGCTGAGCTGGCGCCTGGGCTCGCTCCTCAAGGCCCTCAATCACCCGCAAGCCCAGCTCTTTCATCTGGTCACGTGCCGCAGTGTTGTCATCGAACCGCCCACTCTGGATCTGCTGAATGAGACTCTCGCTCCTGACCTCGTCACCCTCATCCTTCGGAGCCGATGCCTTGCCATCCGCCTGCATGTGCAGAGATCTGTGAAGCCTTCGCCGCCTGACATGCAGCGGCTGCCAATGGTGATGCCACAATGATGGAGCAGGGCCGACAAATGCTGACGAGATGAGGGCGGCGTGCACTGCAATCCCCATGGTGAACAAAGAAGAGATCAGGACGCTTCGCTGCATTCTTGTAAGCTAAGCTCGCAGAACGTTCCGTGAAACCGCTCGTCCCTCGAAAGCTCGCACCTCAAGATCTGCCGTCGTTTGGAAGAACGATGAAGTTCTCGACGACTGTGAGCTCAGACCGGCGAAAATCGCGTAAGGCTCACTTCCAGGCCTCCTCGTCGGAGCGCCGGAAGATCATGTCGGCGCCGCTCAGCAAGGACCTCCGCACCAAATACAACGTACGTACACACAAGACACACAAGGGGGGAGGGGTGGCAGGCGTCGTGTCACTGACGGGAGAGATCTGTCCTCGCCTATATCGGTATGTACTGGCACTTGTGTTGTGTGGGTGCAGGTGCGGAGTCTGCCCATCCGTAAGGATGACGAGGTCATGATAGTGCGAGGCCACTGCCACGACCGTGAGGGCAAGGTCACCCAGGTGTACCGCAAGAAGTGGGTCATCCACGTCGAGCGAGTCACACGCGACAAGGCCAACGGTACAGACAGACAGACACCCAAACAGCCCATCCCCCCCCCCCCCCCCC